GTGGGGCTCAAACTCACAACTCCAAGATCAAGAGTCACATGCTTGGGGTGCCCAGGTGGCTCAGTCAGGTAAGCGTCTGACTTCCGCTCAGGTCATGATCTCACGGTTCGTGAGTTCAAGCCTCACGTCAAGTTCTGTGCTGACAGCTCAGAACCTGGAGCCTGCTTCAGATTCTGTGTCCTTTTCTCCCTCTGCCCACCCCCCCCCCCCCCGCCCCTGTGCTCTCTGTCTCTCAAAGCTAAAAATAAACGTAAAAAAAAAAAAAAAAGAGGCACATGCTCTACTGACTGAGCCAGCTAGACATCCCTCTTCCCCCTTCTATTCTACATGCTACATGAGGTAAGCAACGTATCGATTATTCACCAGAACATCCCAGCACAATACCTGGAATGTAGTAGGCATTCCATACATACTTGTTTGATTTAATGTACTAATACAAGACACAGCCTCTGTACATCCTCTAAGTGTTCACAGTCTAGAAGTCTGATAAAAAATGCAGACTTGATGCAGATTCAACCTCTACATATACAAGCAATAAAGTTTTACATGGTTTTTATTTCAACTCATTTGTCTCACTATATGTTTTTTCAGTCACAAGAAGCACAGCTATTTTGCAGTTAATACTTTCTATCCCCTCTTCCTGGTGCCCAGTGCCAAAATACACTTAATGATAGGGACTGCCTTAGATAGGACTATGACATTCTCAAGAAGACTTCAAAATGTCAAGGAACCTAGAGGTAAAGCAGCACAGGGTGATGATATCTCCATAAGCTTAGTTCTGTTAGAGAATCACTTTAGGAAAATAGTACATTGTAGAAAACTGGGGGTTAGGTGGAAGAGGAGGAGGAGGAAACATATATAAAATAATTACCATTGATTCTTTCCAGTTTTTTTTTTCTACACATAGTTTTTTTAAATATAGTATTTTTTAGGGGCGCCTGGGTGGCGCAGTCGGTTAAGCGTCCGACTTCAGCCAGGTCACGATCTCGCGGTCCGTGAGTTCGAGCCCCGCGTCGGGCTCTGGGCTGATGGCTCAGAGCCTGGAGCCTGTTTCCGATCCTGTGTCTCCCTCTCTCTCTGCCCCTCCCCCGTTCATGCTCTGTCTCTCTCTGTCCCAAAAATAAATAAACGTTGAAAAAAAAAATTTTAATATAGTATTTTTTATATTAAGCATCTGTCTTCTGCCTTTTAAAGAAGGCTCCATATGGGATAGGCTCAAACTCACGACTCTGAGATCAAGAGTCTCATGCTCTACAAATTGAGCCAGCCAAGAGGCCCTATGTCCTGCCTTTTAAGTTTAACGACCTATGTGACTTTGTCATTAGATGTTTTACTAAAATGCAAATTTTTATACGATAGCCAAGTGTTTTATCCTACGGACATACCATAATCTATAACATTCACCCCTTACTGTTGGACATCAGAATTTTTACTCTTAAGAAATTAATCATAGGGGCGCCTGGGTGGCTCAGTCGGTTAAGCGTCCGACTTCGGCTCAGGTCATGATCTCACGGTCCGTGAGTTTGAGCCCCGCGTCGGGCTCTGTGCTGACAGCTCAGAGCCTGGAGCCTGCTTTGGATTCTGTGTCTTCCTCTCTCTCTGACCCTCCCCCATTCATGCTCTGTCTCTCTCTGTCTCAAAAATAAATAAACATTAAAAAAAAATTAAAAAAAAAAAGAAACTAATCATAAATAACTGCTTTTTCAAATTACTGTGCTCTGCCTCTGATCTGATGTAATAATTTCACCCATTCCCTTCTTAACAAATACTACTCCCAGTTCATCTCACTAAAATCTAGCCTGTTGGTAAGCTTTCTAGGAGATCACACTGAGCACAATATAAATCCCACACACTCAAGCAAATGCCCGTACTCATGAATGACATACGCAATTGATAATAATGTAGGGGTTTTTTTTTTATTTACTACAGAGTCTTTTCTTTTTAAAATTTAACTTTTATTTGTACTAAAGTAATGTCTCTTTCCTGTTTAAAATGTAAAATAGCGATCCCTATCAAAATAACACCAACAGTCTTCACAGAGCTAGAACAAACAATCCTAAAATTTGTATGGAACCAGAAAAGACCCTGAATAGCCAAAGCAATCCTGAAAAAGAACACAAAGCTGGAGGCATCACAATTCCAGACTTTAAGCTGTGTTACAAAGCTGTAATCATCAAGACAGTGTGGTACTGGCACAATATTACTGGGTGATTAAAAAGAATGAAATCTTGCCATTTGCAACAACGTGGATGGAACTAGAGTGCATTTTGCTATGTGAAGTAAGTCAGAGAAAGGTAAATATCATATGATTTCACTGACAAGTGGAATTTAAGATACGAAACAGATGAATATAAGGGAAGGCAAGCAAAAATAATATAAAAACAGTGAGGGGGACAAACCATAAGAGACTCTTAAATACAGAGAAGAAACTGAGGGTTGCTGAAGGGGTTTTGGGTGGAATCTAAATGGGCAAGGGACATTAAGGAGGACACTTGTTGGGATGAGCACTGGGTGTTATATGTAAGTGATGAATCACTAAATTCTATTCTTGAAATCATTATTGCACTATATGTTAACTAACTTAACTAACTTTACATTTTTAATGTAAATTAAAAATAATAAGAAATAAAAGAGTGGTCAGAGAGAAGAGTAAGATTATGTCAGGACAAACATATTCCTGCTACAGAAACAGAAACAACCCCCTCCAAGTATATATCAAGTTCAGAACTCTGCTTTGAAGAATAAATAGGAGTTAAACATAGGAGGTGGAAGGAATTCCAGTAAAGGGAATAGCATTGGTTATGCCAAATGCATAATTCTATGGCATTCATTATTGTCGTAACTGAAACATGGATAGGCTTGAGATAATAGGTCAGAATCAGGCAGTAGTAGTCACACCATTCAGAGCTTTATGGTTTGATCTTACTTGGAAGTTCGAGCTTTACCCTAAAAGTTCTGGGGAACTCTCAAAGGACTGGAATCAGAGCAGTAGAAGTGTGGTTCCAGATTGGAGGAGGATTACACAGAGAGTTGGGTATTGGGAGGGATGGTAGTGACCCCAAGTGAGAAGGCTCTGCACTGAGACTGGCAGGGGGGTTGAAGATTCAATTCCAAAGGTGCTAAGGGGGTAGCGTCTGCTGTCTTGGTGATGTGATTGATTGATTGACTGGATATGGGGATTGAGAGAAAGAAAAGAATAAAAAAAATTCAAAGGTTAAAAAAAAATAAATCAATCAGGAGCCTGGGTGGCTCAGTTGGTTAAGCAGGTGAGGTCATGATCTCACAGTTTGTGGGTTGGAGCCAGGCGTCGGGCTCTGTGCTGACAGCCCAGAGCCTGGAGCCAGCTTCAGATTCAGCATCTCTCTCTCTCTCTCTCTTCCCCTCCCCCTGATGCTCTGTCTGTCTCTCTCTTCCTCAAAAATAAATAAACATTAAAAAATAAATAAATAGGGGCACTTGGATGGCTCAGTCGGTTAAGAAGTCGACTTTGGCTCAGGTCATGATCTCATGGTTCATGGGTTGGAGCCCCGTATTGGGCTGTCTGCTGTCAGTGCAGAGCCTACTTGGGATCTTCTGTCTCCCTCTCTCTCTCTGCCCCTCCCCCACTGGTGCTTTGTCTCTGTCTCTCAAAAATAAATAAACGTTAAAAAAATTAAAAACAATTAATAAATAAAAGAAATAAAATGTAAGATAATTCTCTGAGGATTATAACAAATAACTGCTGTCCTCTGCCAGGAAGGGCAACCAGTTTCTTTACAGGCAACCAGTTTCAATTCTTTTAAGTGTTTCTTCCAAAATGTATCTCCATATTTCTTTTTTTTTTCAAAAAATTTTTAATGTTTATTTTTGAGAGAGAGAGAGAGAGAGAGAGAGAGAGCGAGCATGAGCAGAGGAGGGGCAGAGAGAGAGGGAGACACAAAATCTGAAGCAGGCTCCAGACTCTGAGCTGTCAGCACAGAGCCTGACGCGGGGCTCGAACTCACACACTGCAAGATCATGACCTGAGCCGAAGTCAGACGCTCAACTGACTGAGCCACCCAGGCGCCCCTGTATCTCCATATTTCTTTAAAAATTTTTTCTTTTAATGTTTATTTTTTATTTTTTAGAGAGAAAGAGAGCATGAACATGGCAGGGGCAGAGAGAGAGGGATACACACAATCCGAAGGAGGCTCCAGGCTCTGAGTTGCCAGCACAGAGCCCTACCGGGAGGGGGCGGGGCTCGAACTCACCAACACGAGATCATGACCTGAGCCGAAGTCCGATGCTTAACCAACTGACCACCCAGGCGCCTCTCCATATTTCTTAGTAGCATGCTTATACTGCTGTTTTCAGTATTTGACAGAACATTCTGGGATCTTTCCTCTTCCAGACACCTGTCCTAGAAATGTCTGTTCTGCTCCAATCTGCATCTAGGCCTACTTGCAGATTCAACTTAATTCATGAAGACAGACGACACATTTACCTAAGTCTTCCTCTTAGGCATTAATACTTTTCTCCCCGGGGATCAGTGACTGTCATGACCTTGCTAAACATCCCCTACAGCACCTAAAAGTGTACGGATTCTGCCAACAAGTAGACGATCCTCTCCCTACTCACGTCCCCACCAGGGCAAGGCTGACTTTCTTACCCTTAGAGAAGTACAGAAAGTGCATCTTCTGCAGGGGAAGATCTAAAACCGCCGTGAGGGGGTTGTTTCCACCCAACCGCTGTGCACAGAGGAGCACTTAACTCGACTTTGAGGCCGGGCGCTGCAGGAAGAGTCGACAGCCACAGCCCCGCAGACTTGAATTTCCCTGCAGGAGGCCCGAATACGCAAGTACCTGCCAGTGCCGGTGGAGACAGGGAGCTCCCGGATCCTGCTGGAAGGAACGCGTCCGGGGTTCGGGGTCTGGATGCAGGCCCGGGCAGGCGTTTCAAAGCAGTAAGACCTGGCACACGTCACGGCGCCTGCGCCGCTCTTCGCCCCGCCCCCGACCTGACGGCGAGGGGCGGGGCGGTGACGGAGTGAACTAGGTGGACCGTGCTGCAGCCTTCCGCGACGCCGGAACTTTCGGGGGTCCACTGCTGCGGGAAGCCGGGGAACGGCAGGACCGCAGGCGCGCGTCGCTGAGTCTTCCGTCCCGGTCACCAACTCTGTGGCAGCACTCTCTAGGAGCGGCGTGAGGCGTGCGCAGGCTCCTCCGTCCGCTAGCTCCTCTGTCTTCACACCGTCCGCACGCGCTCCTTTGGGGAGCGCGTTCTGCAGCGTCCTGGCTGCCAGGGCCGTGGGCGTCCGGGCGGTGGCCTGGCTTCTTCTCTGGGAGGTGGCTGGATTCACTAGCATACCAGCCACGGCCTTCTCTACCGCTCCCACCGACACTGGTAAAGGGAGGGGCGGGGCTGCGGGAGTGGGGAAGTACAGCCATCAGGTGTCTTGGGATGCATGAAGCTTGTGACCACCAAGGAGACCAGCAAGGCCACAGTGCCCTGTGGGGTGTGAGAATCCCAGTCCAGAATACAGAGCCTGCCGGGGGTGGGGGCGTGGGAAGGGGAGGACAACTAGTTTTGTTTTACAAATATTTTTTGTAATAGACTGGATTGGGCTGGGGTTTTTCTTATGACTCCGGGCTGGGCAGACGAGTTGATTTCATTTCTTTGGGCCTGAGTTGGGGGCCGCAGTGCTGTGCTAGGTGCTGTGCAAGGTGCTGTGCAATAGTCATGAGAGGGAAAGTCAGTACAAACCAGGTTAGTTTCTCCATCTGTAAAATGAGGATATTAGACTAGTGTCAATCACTGCTTTTGTGTCTTCACATATTAGGTTTCCAAGTTTATTTGAAGTATTATGAAGCTAAAGTGAAGTTTTAAACAACTGGTCTTGGTGATCTCTAAAGACTCTTCCACCACTGATATTTTATAATTAAAAAGAGGTCAATTTCCAGAGCCAGTTCAGGCAACAATAACCAAATAAAGTAATATTTAAGAGGAAAACTCTTGAAGGTGAATTCACATACAACAACTTCATTTTGAAAATGGTATTTTTGCCTTAAAAATCACAAATAATAATAATATACTGTCTGTAAATCAGCCTTTCTTCCAACCCAAGTGAATATGATTTACTATTCTCTAGTGTATATCCCAGTAGAATTTAAGCCGATTAATATGAACTTTTTTTCCTAATTTAATCTATAGGTAGATATAAACGCCTACTCCCCACCCCTATTAAAATTAAACATAATGAAGAAACATCTGAATTTGTACAAGAGATATCCAAAGTTATTTGTGTGAAACAAACAACGGAATAATTTGTTCCCAGAGCAAATAAGATTTCTTTAAATAGCTAGGAAGGTGGAAATATCTTAGGCTTTAAAAGTCAGGCACATCTTGCTTCTAATCAGTCACTTAGTGGTATGGCCTAGAATCAGAACTGTTTATTTTTTATTTATTAAGTTTTATTTATTTAAATAATCTCTACACTCACTGTGGGGCTGGAACATATGACCCCGAGATCAAGAATCTCATGCTCTTCAGACTAAGCCAGCCAGGCACCCCTAGAATCAGTTTCCTTCTATGTGCAAATGGCAATAATTTTGCCTGCGTATTTTGCTGGGTTGTGAAAATTAAAGCACGCGAAAGCCCCAGGTAGATCTATGATATGGATATTATTATTTTTTTTTAAATTTATTTTTGAGAGAGAGGGAAAGAGTGAGCATGAGCTGGGGAGGAGCAGAGAGAGAGGGAGACAGAGGATCTGAAGCGGGTTCTGTGCTGAAAGCCTGATGTGGGGCTTGAACTCAGGAACCGTGAGATCATGATCTGGGCAGAAGTCGGAAGCTTAACCAACTGAGCCACCCAGGCACCCCTGGATATTATGTAATAAATATTAACCTATGCTTTTTTTCAGTCTTTTAATTTTCATAAAATTTTTTCATGTGTCTTTTCAGGAATACATCTAATGGATTTAGCAACACATGATGTTTTATGGTTTTCTTTGTGTTTGTTTTAATGTTCTTCCTATACACTCCCATCTTTTGAAAATGGAGTAAAATTCCATAGCAAGGTGTCTGGCAGAGTTGATGATCGTTAGCAACTGAATTTTTAATTTTATGATGTTAACACCAAGTAATAGTTTTAATATCTGAATTCTGCATGGTGTCAGTACAGTGAGATTTCTGGTTATTCTAGATTTATAAAGGAACCCTTTGAATCTTTGAAAAGCCTCTACTTTTTGTTTCTCTGTTTTAAACATTCCCAACATCTTCACAGGGCATGAAAGTACCATCTTCTCAGTTTTCCAGGTGCGGATGGTATACAGAAGTTAGCAGTATGTATCAGACACACAGATTCAGTGAGCTAGGATTAAAACTGAGATCTCCTGGCTCTTTAGCTATTCTGTTTCTTTTGGTGTCCTGGGATCATCTGAATAAAGTAGTATTAATAATAAATGCCTAGGGGCGCCTGGGTGGCTCAGTCAGTTGAGCGTCCGACTTCTGCTCAGGTCATGATCTCACGGTTTGTGAGTTAAGCCCCGCGTTGGGTTCTGTGCTGATGGCTCGGACCCCGGAGCCTGCTTCAGATTCTATGTCTCCCTCACTCTATGCCCTTCTGCCGCTCACACTCTGACTCTCTCTCTCTCAAGAATAAATAAACATTAAAAAAAATAAAAAAAAAATAAGTACCTACATTGAGCTCTGTTGTGGTAAGCCCTGTTGTAATTTATTACGTTTTCATGACAACTAGCAGAGAGAGAAACTGTCTTGTCCAAAGTCACATAGCTATTAAGTGACAGACTGGGATTTAAAAGTAAGCTATCTAACTCCAAAATCAATGTTCTTAACCCCTGTGCTGTACTAGAAGTAGCTTTTTTAGGTAGTTTAAATTGCTTAAGTTTTAAAAGCTTTTGTTTATAGGTTGGTTAGATTTTGCAGGCAAGTGAAACCTATTCAAACAATTACTTTCTAATTATTTAAATTTTCTTTCATAGTATGCTTATTTAAAAAAAATCTTCTGGTTCTTATAGGCATAAGGGCCACTTGTTCTGAAATTATTTTGAGGCAAGAAGTTTTGAAAGATGGTTTCCATAGGTAAGTTGCCCATTGACTTCTACTTACATCAAAATACTGTTTTCATATAATTTAGAGCAAAATCAGTAACTGGAAAATGGATAAACCAAAAATCACTTGGCTTCTTATATTATAAATGACAGATTTGTCATATGTGGTTCACAGTTTGAAATAGTTAAAATAACAGAGAAGAAAACAAATGTTTATTCTTTTACCATACATGTATATTATATATATATATATATATATAATATATAGCTAGAGACTATGTACATAGTATTCATATAACATTCACAATGGTTGTGAGATAGATGATACCTTTCTTGCTTTTCAGATGAGAGAACCAGGGCTCAGAGAATTTAATTTAGTAGAAGTTAGGGTGGTAGAGCTCTGACTCAAATTTATGACTGTCATACTCCAAAGCCATGCTATCAAGTACTAAAATGTTATGTCAACCTAAGTCACTGTTTTTGATTTATAATACTTGGTTCCAAATGACCAAGCTGTTTCCAAAATCGAAATTATTCTCAAAAATGAATATTTGCCAGGATTGAAGATATTTAAAAATTGGTTAAAAAGTTGTAGAAGCTGTTCTTTAAGAAAACTTCCCAAACTTTAAAAGCTTTTCAAGGTAATTAATTTGAAATGATTCTCAAACACTTGATTTACAAGTTCTGATACATTTTTGTACATACATTCAGAACCACTGAATTTTATAAGTCACCTTAAAATGAAACATCTCAGTTTCCACTGTCTTCAAAGCTAGCCTGCATATGACTGGCTAGGAGGCATAATGGAAAAAACTTGTTTTTTGTTTTGTTTTGTTTTTTTGTTTTTTGTTATTTTTTATTTTTTCTATTTTCGACTGAGCAGGGGAGAAGGGCAGAGAGAGAGAGAGAGAATGAGAGAGAGAGAGAACCTTAAGCAGGCTCCATGCTGAGCACAGAGCCCAACACGGGACTCAATGCGGGGCTTGATCCCACGACCCTGGGATCATGACCCGAGCCAAAATCAAGAGTTGGATGCTCAACCAACTGAGCTACCCAGGCACCCCTTGTTTTGTTTTTCAACTCAGACAAATTTGGGCTCAGAGTGTAGCTCTATTATTTAGTAACTGTGTGGCCTTAGTCAAGTTTATTGAAATCTTTGCTACCTTACCAGTAAAATTGGATAATGATAGTATTTCCTCATTAGGGTTGTGAGGATTAAATCTGAGAATATATGGAAAGCCTCTTAATGTAGTGCTTGTCACATAGTACATCCCCAGGAAATGTTAGCTTTGATTATTAATAATGAGATACGTGGGGGCACCTGGATGGCTCAGTTGGTTAAGATCTGACTCTTGGTTTTGGCTCAGGTCATGATCTCACAATTTGTGAGTTCGAGCCCCACACCAGGCATGCTGCTTTTAGCACAGAGCCTGCTTTGGATATTCTCTCCCCTTCTCTCTGTTCCTCCACTGCTCGTGCTGTCTCTCAAAAATAAACATTTAAAATTAAATAAATAAATAAATAAATAAATAAATAAATAATGAGATAAGTGACCAAGGTAGGCGATACAGTTTCTGTAAAAGAAGAGATGTGACTATGAAGTAGTAAAACTGATTTTGGGAGGGAACTCACTCCTAAAAGGCGTTTTTGGCCAAGTTTCAGATACATTTTAGGCAATGTCAGGGTAATTATGCCAAGTAATTAGGAGGGTACCTGGGTGGTTCAGTCAATTAAGCCTCTGACTTTGGCTCAGGCTATGATCTCGCGATTTTTGAATTCGAGCCCTGCATCGGGCTCTGTGTTCATGGCTCGGAGTCTGGAGCCTGCTTCAGATTCTGTGTCTCCCTCTCTCTCTGCCCCTCCCCCACTCATGCTCTGTCTCTCTGTCTCTGTCTTTCTCAAAAATAAATAAAAATTTTAAAAAATTTAAAGTAATTGCAATATATTCTCAAAAGGAATGGGAAATACTAAATAACGCTTGACAGTGCAATCATAAATGATTCCAATGAGGAATAAAGAAGTACCTGAAGAGGCTGTTGTGACGGCAAAAGTAACTGTCCAATTAGAAGTGCTGAAAATAAAAACTGGGACATAAAACTAAGGGTGAAGAGTGATAGAACCCACAAGAATAACTTCAGAAACTAGAAATCTCAGAGTTATTTGAGACCTTCAGAAAATTCCATAGATTCTTTTTTTTTTTTTTAATACTTACTTATTTTGAGGGAGAGGGGACAGAGAGAGAGAATCCCAAGCAGGGTTCAAGCTCAGCCAGGAATCCGATGGGGGGCTCAATTTCATGACCTGAGCTGAAATCAAGAGTCAGATGCTTAACAAACTGAGCCATCCAGGTGCCCCACCAGTAATCATTTTTTTAAAAAGGCTTTTTAGTTATTAGAGCAGGTGTAGTCTTGCTGTTAGGGTGGAGGAAGAAACATTAATAGATCATAGAAAGTAAAATTATTTCTGTCCTCTTGTTCAAGAAGAAGTAATTCTGGAGAGGGCCAAGCAAATATTGTTAGTAGGAAACAAGTGCAAAATATGGAAGGGAATTATATAAAAGGACCTTACTATTATAAATGAGTTTAGGGTCTCTTGTGATGAACTATATCTTAGTGCCATACAAGAATTTTCTTAAATGATTGCTGAACTTCTGTTTGTAATCCTTGGATAATCTGGGACTTAGTTGATGTAGATTCTGGGCAGAATTCTAGCTCTGATTATTAAAAGTATGGTTTGTGAGGGGCGCCTGGGTGGTGCAGTCAGTTAAGCGTCCGACTCCAGCCAGGTCACGATCTCGCGGTCCGTGAGTTCGAGCCCCGCGTCAGGCTCTGGGCTGATGGCTCAGAGCCTGGAGCCTGTTTCCGATTCTGTGTCTCCCTCTCTCTCTCTGCCCCTCCCCGTTCATGCTCTGTCTCTCTCTGTCCCAAAAATAAATAAAATGTTAAAAAAAAAATTAAAAAAAATAAAAGTATGGTTTGTGAACCCAAAAGAGGAAGTGGTGGTCTCTGGGAACCAGCATGAATTTATTACAAATTTATGTCCTTTATAGAGATCACTAGATAGATAGATCAGAGAGTCTTTTCTGCAAGACTTTTGATGAAGTTTTACATGTTGTATTTGTGAACAAGATAAAGAACGTGAACTCGAAAATAGAACAGAGAAATGACTTCATAAAGATTAACAACAACAACAAAAAATAACAGATTCATCCAACATGTTCTGATTAATGGATTGAATGTCATCTTGGAGAGAAGTCCTGAAGAGTCTCTGTCTTTTTAAATACATATATATTTTTCTAATTATAAAATAGTACATATATTCATAATTACATATACATTATCTGGAAGAAAAATTATAAGTATGTTCTACTTTTATAGAGGTGAAGTGATACAGTGCTAAGAATGTAGGGATTAGAGTATAACTACTGGGGTTTGAATCTTGACTCTTGGATAAATTAGTTTCTTAGTGCTTTGGTTTTCTTTGCTTTTTTTTTCTTTTCTTTCTTTTTTTTTTTTTTTTGAAGAGGGAAAGTATTTTTGTTTCCTCCCATGTAAATACAGAACTTTGGGATTTAATTGATTTGCATATTTTATCCTTAGATTTTACATTACTAGAAATGATATTTTTTAATGAAAATAGAATATAACAATAACACAAATATTATTCAGAATTCTTTTAGTGAATACAAATTATTAGGAAAGTAAAATGCTATATGTAAAATTACCTCAGGCTATTTGGAAGAATATAAGCAAAGAAACAAAAATCTCTCTATATTTAGCTGCTGTTGATAATCAGTTCTTTATATGCATTCTTTTTTTTTTTTTTTAATGTTTATTTATTTTTGAGAGAGAGAAACAGAGTGCAAGCAGGGAAGGGGCAGAGGGAGAGGGAGACACAGAATCCAAAGCAGGCTTCAGGCTCTGAGCTGTCAGCACAGAGCCTGACGCTGTGAGATCATGACCTGAGCTGAAGTTGGATGCTTAACTGACTGAACCACCCAGGTGCCCCTTCTTGTCCATGTTTAAACTGAATGGCTGGTTTGTCATCTTATTATTGGGTTGTAAGAATTCTAATTGTGATGGAGTCCAGTTTATCATTTTTTTTTCTCTTGTAGTTCATCCTTTTTGTGTCCTAAGTAAGAAATCCATGCCTATTCCAAGACCATTGAATTTTTGTGTGTACTATTAGGTTTTTTTCCTTATGGATATCCAGTTGACCCAGCATCATTTGGTGAAAGGATTATTCTTTCCTCATCAAATTACTTTGACACATTTGTTGAAAATTAATTACCTTATGTGTGAGGATCTATCTGTGCACTCTATGACACACAAACATTTGGCAAACTGGCTCAAGGCCAAATCCTGCACATGGCTTATTTTGTACTGCCCTTGAGCTAAAAATGATTTTTATATTTTTGAAGGTTGTTGTTTTTTTTTTTAAGGCAAAGAAAAATATGTAACAAATTTTGTAAGGCTCACAAAGCCTGAAATATTTACTGTTAGGGTCTTTACAGAAAAAGTTTGCCAACCCCTGGATGTCCATCCATATGCCACTAATGCACCACCTTGATAACTATAGCTTGACAATATTATGGCTTCAAATCAGAACGTCGGAGTTCTTCAACTTTTTTTTCAAGGTTGTTAACTTTTGGAATTAATTTGTAGATCTCTTCAAAAAAGCTTCATGAACTTTTGATTAGGATTCTGTCGAAACTCTAGATCAATTTTGTAGAGAAGTGATATGTTACCATTCATGAGTATTCCGGTGCATGAATATGGCATCTTCATTTATTTAGGCTTTATCAGTTATCTTAACAATACTGTAACTTGCAGAGTATAAGTCTTGCATATGTTTTGTTAAATATATCCCTAAGTTTTTTTTTAATGTAAAAAATATTGTTTTAAAGTTTTTATTTCTGGTTGGTTTTTGCTGGTAATAAAATACAGTTGACTTTTGTATGTTTACGTTGTACCCTAATTCCTTATTGAAATCATTTATCAATGCCTGTGGCTTTTTCATGGATTCCTTAGG